TAACAGGAGGCACAAAGTTTCGACTTCTTCTACTCGCAGGGAGCCAAATCACATGCTACTGATTGGTTACCTATACAGGCACAGGGAAGTAAAAGAAATGGATAAATTTTCAAAATAGATATTTTTAGGGTCTGTTTGGTACATTTCCGAAAAAATAGAAGAAATGGAAAGCAGTGTTTGAAAACCCATTTCAGGACATTTCAGAGGGTTCGCAGCAAATTTTTTTTTCGATTGTTTCATATTGAAATCAAAGAAATGAAAAACTCAGCTGACGTTTCAATTGTGATTTCAGCATTTAAATATTATCTTGTAATCCAACATTTTCATTTAATGGGTTTGTTTGAAAAAAAAAGGAACTCAACCGTCATTTCAATAATGATTTTAGCATTTAAATGTTGTCTTTTAATCTTAAGCCGCTGTTTCAACAATGTTTTGGGCAATTAAATATTGTTCGATGTGACATTTCCACACCCATTTCAAAGTATTTTCTTCAAAATTTGATGTGGCATCCTACGTGACACCCTCATTTCTTTAAATCACATAACGAAACAAACTTATGATTTGAAAATCCCTTGAAACCAAACTCTGATGTGACACTATTGACATTTCCCTAAATCCCATGTGGCACCCATTTCCTCACTATTTTTGGGTAAACAAACAACCCCTTAGAAGCTCAGTCATCAAAATCGGCCCAATTGCAATAGCAATTTTGACCTAGCCATGTGGGTTGTAACTAGGTTGAAGTTGCGGAATATATTTTATGAACTCCACGGGATTGAAACTAGGTCGAAATTGCGAGATATATTGTACAAACTTTGCTGGATTAAGAATATCGTGTAGTTTACTAGAAAATAAAAGTCTATTGGATTTTGAATATCGTAGAGTTTAGGACTCTAATAAATTACCAATCTAGCGCAGTTTATAAAATAAAAATTGGACAAGATTCACAATCCAGTGTAGTTGGTTAACTGATTAGCCCCAAAAGAGGCGGATTTCAATTATTTAAATAGTTTTGAGTTTGAATGTCATCATCACCAACATTAGTTTTATTTTTATATTTTATATATTTAGAAGCTAAACATAAAAAAGAATTTCATTACTTGACTAGGATCCGATTCATGGCTTTTCAACTCATAACTAAACTCTAGAGATATTAACCACTAAATCAACTACACAAATTTGTGAATCACATGTAGTTTATATATTATAAACTACACAAGATTCACAAATCGCGCGTAGTTTAGTAGTAGAGTTCTAAAATCTATAAGCTTGAAAATCCCGTGTAGTTTAAATTTCTACTAAACTACACAGGATTCTCAATCTGGTGTAGTTCTAAGAACTTATTTATCAAATTCGATTCAGTTTCAGCCCACATAGCTAGCGTGGCTTAAACTAGGTTGAATTTGATAAATAAGTTGTAACTAAGTCGAAAATGATAATTATTTTTTAAAAAGTATCTATTCTGAAAATTTGTAAAAAAAAATATGTTTTGTGCTTCCATGATAATAGAGAAGCATCCTCTTTTACCATAATGCGCATCTGCCCCAGTTCCCTACTGTTTCCCTGTAGCAAGGAAAAATATTAGAAAAAATCTCATCGTTCCTTGCGTTTGGCTAAATGTCAAAAATTCATGAGTATAGTCCTGTTTTGACTAGAAAGAGTATTTAACCTTAAAAAAATTGTCAGGGAAGGCAATTTCTGCCCATACCCATTTACCCACCCGGCCCGCCTACCACTTAGCCCGTCCAAAACCCACCAATTTAGTTAAATGTGTCTAATTGGGCGGGTTCATTTTAATCCACACTAAACGGGTACTAAATGGGCGGTATATATGTGTCCATTTGCCCGCCCGCGTTCCCAAAAGAAAAACCTAGAACCCCCGTCAATCTCTTCCTCTTTCTCTCCGGCGGCTGAGTTCTCATTGATCCCTCCTCCTCTGCCTCCGACGCCGCCTCCGACCCGGCATCACCCTCTCCCTCATCATCTCCCTCTGCGATCGCGGAGTCAATCCCGAAGCCCTAGCCGCCCTCGTCCGCGAGCTCTCTTGGTCAGTTGATTTGTTTAAATTGTTCTTATTTTTTCTAAACTAGAGTCTATTCTAATCAAGGAGATTACATAAATAGATCGGCTATTCTAAACTATAGTCTATTCTAATCAAGTTTTTCTAAACTAGAGTCTATTCTTATTTTTTTCATGAAGTTCAGTTGATTTGTTTAAATTGTTCTTATTTTTTCTAAACTAGAGTCTATTCTAATCAAGTTTGGCATAATTTGCACAAAATTATGATGGATTCTTGAAGATATAATGCTATTCTTGAATTAAAATTGTGCCTTTGTCTATTATCTATATAGAAATGTAGTAAAAATAAAGTTTGCAATAGTGGGTATTTGAATTGCCTTCCATTAAATGATTACACGTATCTTTTGTTGTTGTACCCATTTAAGAGGTTTATAAGTAGTACATAAATTGTAATTTGGTGCTCTTTGGTGTTACATGAAGCCAATTATTGTACATTATTCTACAAAGTGTAAGCAATAATGTTTTCGCTTTTCAGTTCATCTCTCATTTGTTATATGAGATTTTGTAATCTATGTAACTGGAGTAATTTCACTGAAAGGTCGTCATGTATTAAAAAAAATGGTACGTTTCATGATTCAGAGATCAGTTTAAGCAATGGATATCAGTGCCGGCTTACTACTAGCAGTTTCATTTGGTGATGAAGATCCTAATACGTATCCAGATTTAGAGGGCATTGGCAGAGGAATAACTGATAAGTTGCAGAGATTCCCTCTGGCAGCATAGTTGGTTGGAGGAGCATTAAGAGAGAAGCTAAATTGCGAGTACTGGATGAGCATTTTACGAAGCGAATCATTGGAATTGGATAAGGGCTATGGTGATCTTATGCCTTATGTGAGATTGAGTTATCAGCAACTACCTTTGCACCTTCAGCAATGCTTTTCTTATTGTTCGGTTTTTCCCAAAGGTTATGCATTTGACATTGACAAACTAATCCAAATATGGATGGCTCAAGGACTGATTCTAATGGAGGATAATGGAAAGGAATACTTTGATCACTTACTATCCAGGTCATTCTTTGAGCAACTACCTTTGCAGTCTATATGTTTTGATGACATTTTAGTTTATAGAGGTAGGAAATTGGATGGAACTCGAAGAGATGTCTGCTACTTGTCTCTTTCATTATGGGATGGCCTTAATTCAGAGTTAGAGTGGAAGAATCTGCAGACCCTTATTATTAACACAAAGCATTCCATACAGTTTTGAGGTTCTGAAAATAATTCAAGTGCTAGATTTATCTCACAGTTATATGACGCAGTTGCCTGATTCTATAGGCGATCTTATACATCTCCGCTACTTGAATCTCTATGGAAACTACATTTGTAGTTTACCCAAATCATTGTGCAAGCTTTACCATCTTCAGTCACTAATACTGCCTCACAACTTGCCCAAAGGAATCACAAATCTAGTCAATTTGCGTCATCTCAATGCAAGCAAGGTAGCAATTTCATGGATAGCTGGAATTGGTAGACTCGCACATCTTCAAGGATTGAAGGTATTCCATATTAGAGGATTGAAGGTATTCCATATTAGAAGGTTGAAGGGTCATGACGTAGCACAGTTGAAGGGCATGAAGGAGCTTCAAGGGTCCCTTTGTATTAAATGTCTTGACAATGTAAAAAGTAAGGATGATGTACTTGAAGCCAAGTTAGAGGACAAAATCCATTTCAGAGAGCTTCAATTGAAGTGGATGAGTTGGAATCGTAATCGCAATCCTGATACTCACAAGATTTACTTTCTCGTAAAATCCCTCCCTTTTGATCTTTGTTTCTTGGTCTTTTCTTTCTTCTGTCATGATCCTGTTCATGCCTGAACATTTGAAAGATGGGAAATAAGTAGACTATGGTTGTGCTACTATTTTGTTTATAGACGAACTTACTACTCTTCTAGTTTATCAAGTAATTAAGTAGATTGTCCTTACTAATCGTGATCGTGTTGCTGATAGTTATGATGGCGTTTATATCAAGTTATTGATCTTATACAGATCCTTGCATACCTTGTGTTTTCTATCTTAATTCATTTAAATATACTCGCAATTTTGTTGTTATTGATCTTTTGGTTTTTGGTTTGGAAATTTGAGGTTAATTTTGCAAATGTGTGAGGTCTGTACTTTTATCCAGGTTTGTAAATGGTTCAATCATGAATTTGTCTGCATTTGTTTATCTTTGTTTATGTTCCTATCTTTGTTAGTATTTTATCAAAAGCCCCCAACAAGTTTGCAAAAAGCTCCCAAAAAGTTTGCAAAAAGCCCACAATAGTTTACAAAAAAAAAACCTCTAAAAGTTTACAAAAAACACCCCAAAAGTATTATACATATATATATACTATAGTTAAATGGGCAAATGGGCGACCCGTTTATTAAATGGGCGGGCAAAAACCCGCCCATTTAAATAATGTTAAATGAGCCATAAATGGGTAAATGGGCAAAACATGCCCGCCCATTTATGACCCGCCCATTTAAACCCATACCCACCCATTTAACATCTAATAACAATTTAAGGTGGGCTCCAATTCTTGGTATTTTCCCTTCAACGATCGAGGTCTTCTGATGACTTGAGGGCTCGAACTCGGACTTTCCTTCTCCCCTGACAAAAGTCTCTTATTATGCCAAAAAAAAACCCTACTAATTTAAGTTATTTTGTGTTAATTTATTTCTAAATCCATGGAATTGTGCCTTTAATTCACACTTCAGAATGTTCCAACAAATTAATTACAAATGTGCAAATCAATGGTGCTTGGTCACAAGAGTCAATGTGCAAATTAACGTGCATTTGGGATAACTTGCCGCGACTTACTGCCTTAAAGCCCAAGAAGCATCAGCCCTTGGTAATAAGGGTCAGGTTAATGGGCTTATCTTAGACCCGGTCCAGATCTGCTGTCGGGCGCCTTTCCAAAAATTTTGACTTTTATTTAGGGGGAAAAGCGAAAAAAGTCGCCCTTTTACGCACGCGCGCGCGAGCGAGAGAGAGAGAGAGATCCGAGTCCGAGATCACTAACGATTGGGATTCTTGAGCTCTACTTGAGAAATCAGTGTTCTTCTTTGCTCTGGATTCAGGTAAGTTTGCTTATATCTACCCTTTTTCTTTTCTTTTCTTTTTCTGCAAATTTTTTTGCAATTATATGCTTCAAAATGATTGTCTTTGGAAGTAAATTGCCATTCGAATCCTCATCTATCTATTTGTGTTTGATTGATTCATGATTTTGAGGAGTATTGATTCTTAATTAGGGTTTATGAATTTCTCATTATATACGTAGCTGATGCCCTAAATGATAAACAAACGGGAAAAGGTATTATAGAATTGCAGATACTCTTAATTGGTCTCTGGAATCATCCGGTGTTTCAAATGTAAGGCGTAATGTTTTATATAAGTAACTCTCTCAAATTGGTAACTTAAAAATCCTCTACAACTAAATGAAGGTAAAAAAAAGGGACATACAAGGGAAAGTAAAATGTAAACTCTACAAGTGTGTGGTAGACTGGTAGTAGGATTTAAGCAACAATTATTTATTTATTTATTTATTTATTTATTTATTTGGTGCGAAGAACCTTGGCTTAGTATTGCAATGCCTTTGGATTGACAATTGGCGGCCTCTGGCGCCAAACCCCCAAGCCCCAACCATTGACCCAACTAGCACAATGGTTTGCTTCTAGAAACGTGTTTGTGCCCTTTTTTACGTGAAATGATGAAACCGCAGCCATTTGATCCTCGCGATGACACTTCTATATCTCTCCTCTCCAAAGATTATCAGAATACCTGTTTTAGTTGAAATGGTTTTGAGGCAAAGTGTTAAAATGACGATTAATGAGACAAAATTCCAAGTTCCAGATAGAGTAATGGTAGTATCGTCAATAGGAATCATATGAAGGTTTGCGTTAATGGTCAGTCCATTTCAGCAGACGCAGAAGTAGCGGGATTGCATCATGGCAGAAGCTTTGGTTGTGTCCACCCTTTTGACAGGCGTTCTTGCTTCTTACAGGATGACATAGAGTAATGCGTGAATAGAACATTCGGCGTTCATTGCAAAATATGACTATAAAGTGTACAGACCCTTCATAAACTTCACAAAATTTTGATGTAATACAAGTTTCACAAACTTAATTTTAAACAGATAACCAATTTTGCTCAAGCTGAATACCATACAATTTAACAACAAAGGACATACTCTTTTGGCCATGGAAGTCGTCACACCAGTCAAGTATAGGTTAGCTTCCTGGTCTGTTCCTATTTGAATCTTACAGGATAATAACTGAGTCCCATAAGGCTTGATGTTGTATTCCTATTCTAGAAGATCCAATACCATGCCAGACATTAAATCAATGCCGTCCTCCATACAAATTTTTACAAGAATGCATTAGTTTTTCTAAGTTCCTATTTCTTTTGGAGCAGTATATTATTTCAAAATTTAGTATCGCAATTAACATAAAGGTTTTATTATTATACTTATATATTGATGCCAGATTATGATTAGGAAGCAAATGATGAGCGGTGATGCCTGTTATAACGTTATCACAGTAGAACAACATAATGAATTGAGCCATAGTTGATCCATGTCTAAGACAATGATAGTTTTGCACTTCACGATTTCTCCTAATCTGTCCAGTACTATTGAGTTTTATTGCTTTCTTTTGTCTGAACTTCCCCGTTCACTAATGATGGACACTTTCCACAGCTCACCTCGTAGTTGGATAGCTTGATAACAATAGAGAGATGGAAGAGGGTTTGCAGAGCTCTCCAAACTTCATTGACTCCATTGATACTGATGATTCCAAGTACTTATGTGGGCTCAGCACCATTCTCGTGGCCAACATTCAGGAGCTAAAAGATCGGATTTCCCAGGTAGAGCTCATATTCTGCAGCCAGCTTTTTCCAAAATTTCAGTCAAGATCAAAAAGTTTAGAGAAGAGAATTCTTGAGGCAAGAAAAGCTACAAATGATGAGTGGAAGAAGAACGAAACTTTTCTCCTAAATCAGATTAAAGAGGTTAATCTTGAGAAACAATATGCACAAGAAGAAGTTCGGCGACTAAACAAATCTCTTGAAGAAACCAAGACGAGTTTGATAAATAAGGAAGAGTTGTTAAGTAAGTATCAAGATGAAAAAGTACAACTTTTGGTGAAAATTGAAAACCAAGAGAGTAATGGAGAGATCATTGCCAGTCTAAAAGAACAGCTTGCTCAAAAGAATGACGAACTGGCCAATGAAAAGAAATTGCAAGAGAAGCTACTGCAGCAGATTGATCTTAAGGATCATAACCTGTTGACAGAGCAGAGCAAAAGAAAAGATTTGTTCGAAGAGTTCAGTAAGTTAAAGGACAATTACAAGCATCTGAAGTCTCAGTATACTTTTCTACTTAGCAAGTGCAGCAGCAACAGAGAGCAAAAGCCTCATCCAGACAGGATCACAGAGGAAAAGGATTCTCCAGGTCCCTCACTGAGCAGGAGAAGCCCCCAAGGTTAGTTTTTCGCCTCAATAACCCATTTTCCTTTTTCACTGTGAAACTGTTCGGTCGTGTTTAAATTATATTGTAATCAATGTTGATTCAGAACATTTTTTTGAGAATAAGGATGGAATACCCCAAAGGTATTCCAGCCAGCTAAATTAAAAGATAAAGTGGTTGTTACAAAAAGCCCATACTCCCAACCAAGAGTATGCGCTAGAGTTCAAAAGAGGGTACTACAAATAGTATACCCCTACCCCCCGTAAACAACTGAAAAACGGACATAACCTCCCCCAAAAAACTGATATATGTTGATTCAGAACATAAAGGTAAAGATATCAGCCCTCTGTCTTCAAGGCCAATTGAGCTGAAGAAACTTGTGAGCAATCAAGACTCTGGATTCATTAAGCCTTCACACGTAGATTCTCGCATATCTCCAAAGAACCTCCCTTCAATTACCAAAACTGAGCCATCAATCGGGAAGAAGCGATCTGCTTCTTCTTCTTGGAGAGAAACAAGACAGCGTCAAGAACAAGGCAGTGGAGATCCACACGATGATTTTCTCGACACTCCAATGGAGATAGTCAGAAACCTAAACTTAGGTCCTAAAGAAGAAGTCCAAGATCTTCCAGTTGTTGCTCTAAATGACATGGATTTCAACAATTCAGATGATGAGACTCAAGAGATGATCAATCCTGATGCAGCTGCTCCTCAGAAGCAAAATGTATCTATTCTTGGTCCCGGAGCGAACAAGGGTTTTAAGTATGTGGAGCCTGTGAGGAAAAAGACGGAGAGGGAGAATCTTAGAGGAGTTGAATGCAAGCAATGCAAGAAGTTCTATGATGCCGTTTTGCCTCATGATGGTACAGATAATGGGCAGAAAACTATGAGATGTGAACATCATGATGGTGTATCGAGGCATCGGTATAGGTACGCTCCTCCAATGACACCTGAAGGATTCTGGAACATTGGTTTTGAATCGGAGTTATAGATTTTATCATCGAATTTGGTAGGTGAAATGCTATATTTGATTTGAGCATATTGATGAACATGAGAGCAAGTTCTTCTTTGTAGCTAAGGGTGGAAATGAACCAAGTAATTAATAAATGGTTCGATAATTGTTCGAATAACTATTCGGTCATATTCGATTTGATAATTTATTTATCACTAAACAAATATTTTTTTAGTATTCCAGTTTATTAGCGAATAGAATTTAACCAGATGTATATTCAATTCGTTTGTCTATTAAATATTCGTTTAAATTTTGATAACATCTTATTATTTGTATTATTGCACATATGATGTCATATTTTTAACCCACTTACCATTTCTACTTAAATTTTATATATTGATTTGAAGACTTAAATAATCTTAAATCTATTTTCTAATTAAAATTTTAATTTAAATACATATACATCATATATTATAAAGAAATAATTTTTATTTATGAATTTTAATACTATTTGAAAATCATACTCTTTAGCGAAATAAATATACTTTGATATTCGATAAGTATTCGTGAATATTCATGAATATTTATCAAATATCAAGTATTCAAGTTCGAATTCGAAAAACTAGATATATGAATATTAGAGTCCGCATTCGAATCCGATAATTTTAAACAAATACAAACGTGAAACACCTTAGTATTCGATTCGATCATTTACTATCCCTTTTTGTAGCATAGATTTTAGATGATTTTACCAATGTATGGGTCTTGAGCTTTGCACAAGTCACTCGAAGAGAGATTATGTATGTGAAATTGATGAAATTCTTCTCACCACAGTAAAACTGGCATCTTTAAGCTGTGAAGATATCTTTTGGCTAGCATTCATTTCTAATCTGGAGCACGTCAGATTGCCTGAATTTAGGTCAAGTCTTTGACTGTAAATAAATGAATTGACGACAAGCTTCATTACTGCAATAAAGGTCACATATATAATTTTATATGTAGATATGGAGGAGAATTAGGGTTACATGAAATTCTGTGACTACAGATCAGAAAAATATATAACCACCCTCAAAGAACTTTATGAGAGGCTTAGAGAGAGCTCTTTCTTTGTCCCTCTTTCTCTCACTCTACCTAACAATATCATATTCTCTCCTCTTCTATGTACACCAAATTAGCATGTTTGCTGTTTCAGTAAGCATCAAGCTTCAGAGCTCAGTCTTCAACTGGTTAGGAAGCGATACTGTAAAAAAAAAAAACAAGAGTTATCAAAAATATATTCCACTGAATTTGGACGTTCTATTTAAGGAACAAACTAACCATAGAAATGTATGATAGAAGCATGGAGTACGTGAATGGGACCATAGCAGGTGTGGGATTTGGAGTATTCTTTATATAGACAAGAATGACTTAGAGCCATGAAGTTTTCTCACAATAGTCAAGAGAATAGTTGGTATACAGCTAATCTTATGTGCATGCTTATGAACCTTGATTCTACCAAAGGTCAGACATGCAAGTAAACTTTCAGACTGTCTTAAGCAACTTGTTGAATAATTGGATGTTTGGATGTAAAAACAGGTTTTAGAGCTCTGACGGAAGTCAGAGTTCTTTAATCTCCAAAAGTATCCAATTTTTTACCTTTACTTTTGTAGGGTTGTATAGAAAATTTTGATGAAAACTTGGATGTGGATCCATCCCTAAAATCGTTGTGAAAGCAGAGGAATTTTGACTGACCAAGGGCTGACAAAATCCAACAATTCCCAACAAAAATTTTCAGTAAAACAAACAAGAATATGACACAAATCAACTCCGATAAAATTAGTATCGGACCCGCCCGCCTTTACCACGGAATCGTGAGAATTCCGTGGAAACAAACAGGCCTTAAATATTCGGTGTTAAGTGTCAATTTGGACAACAGATAGCGCGGTGCCTCCAGAAATTACAGAAGAACCAGGATGATCACTGAGGGTCCCATTCAGTAGAGAATGGGGCAGCAGCATTCTGTGAGATGTCGGGCTCAACCCGCTCATTGTTGGTTGGTATCTAAAATGAGCTGGTGTGCACCAAAGTTTTCATTTAAGACAGCTGTATGAGGAGCCCAGATAAAGACTTGAGGGCTCCATGAAGAAAGAACAAGGACAATATTAATCTTGGTGGTGTCTGCTTTTTTAGCTAAAGATCCTAACCGGTCCATGCCATGACATCGGCAAACCTTGTGTATTATTATAGCACCTCACTTTGACATTTTCTAAACTTATAATCACTTTTTAATTGACAGAAAGCATACAATCATCTAGTTTTGAAAGTGTAAAAGTTACTTAAATAATTATAGCTGGCAGGTACCAATAAAGTAATAGCATTTGAACAGTAAACTATAAGCATAATTAAGGGAATTAGGAGGAAGAACATTTATGATTAAATGTTCTTAATTTCAGAAATTCCAACAAAAACTGCCAAGTCAGTACAGGTAAAATGCTCGATTTTGAGCCAGGCTCAAGTTAGCAAAGGAGTCTGGAATCAATCTAGAGCGTGGGCACAGGTGCACATATGACCATTCATATTTGAAGGAAAGTTCATAGAAATGTGGACTAGATTAGTCGACAAGATGAGATTTTACACCGACTCCTTAAGTATCTCTTTACAGTTCATAGATAGAAATTTAATTTTTGATGCTGTCAAAAAAGTATGGAAATCCAGGACAATTATTCTTTGTAGCAAGCTCCACAAGTCCTACAAGACATCTTTAAAGCTTGACTTTCATGAACCAAAGGGAAATTCATTAAAACATCAGCAGCTTATAAGCATATGCTAGGAAAATTCCTAGGTTCCTACCAAATGAAGAAGTCCAAGATCTTCCAGTTGTTGCTCTAAATGACATGGATTTCAACAATTCAGATGATGAGACTCAAGAGATGATCAATCCTGATGCAGCTGCTCCTCAGAAGCAAAATGTATCTATTCTTGGTCCCGGAGCGAACAAGGGTTTTAAGTATGTGGAGCCTGTGAGGAAAAAGACGGAGAGGGAGAATCTTAGAGGAGTTGAATGCAAGCAATGCAAGAAGTTCTATGATGCCGTTTTGCCTCATGATGGTACAGATAATGGGCAGAAAACTATGAGATGTGAACATCATGATGGTGTATCGAGGCATCGGTATAGGTACGCTCCTCCAATGACACCTGAAGGATTCTGGAACATTGGTTTTGAATCGGAGTTATAGATTTTATCATCGAATTTGGTAGGTGAAATGCTATATTTGATTTGAGCATATTGATGAACATGAGAGCAAGTTCTTCTTTGTAGCTAAGGGTGGAAATGAACCAAGTAATTAATAAATGGTTCGATAATTGTTCGAATAACTATTCGGTCATATTCGATTTGATAATTTATTTATCACTAAACAAATATTTTTTTAGTATTCCAGTTTATTAGCGAATAGAATTTAACCAGATGTATATTCAATTCGTTTGTCTATTAAATATTCGTTTAAATTTTGATAACATCTTATTATTTGTATTATTGCACATATGATGTCATATTTTTAACCCACTTACCATTTCTACTTAAATTTTATATATTGATTTGAAGACTTAAATAATCTTAAATCTATTTTCTAATTAAAATTTTAATTTAAATACATATACATCATATATTATAAAGAAATAATTTTTATTTATGAATTTTAATACTATTTGAAAATCATACTCTTTAGCGAAATAAATATACTTTGATATTCGATAAGTATTCGTGAATATTCATGAATATTTATCAAATATCAAGTATTCAAGTTCGAATTCGAAAAACTAGATATATGAATATTAGAGTCCGCATTCGAATCCGATAATTTTAAACAAATACAAACGTGAAACACCTTAGTATTCGATTCGATCATTTACTATCCCTTTTTGTAGCATAGATTTTAGATGATTTTACCAATGTATGGGTCTTGAGCTTTGCACAAGTCACTCGAAGAGAGATTATGTATGTGAAATTGATGAAATTCTTCTCACCACAGTAAAACTGGCATCTTTAAGCTGTGAAGATATCTTTTGGCTAGCATTCATTTCTAATCTGGAGCACGTCAGATTGCCTGAATTTAGGTCAAGTCTTTGACTGTAAATAAATGAATTGACGACAAGCTTCATTACTGCAATAAAGGTCACATATATAATTTTATATGTAGATATGGAGGAGAATTAGGGTTACATGAAATTCTGTGACTACAGATCAGAAAAATATATAACCACCCTCAAAGAACTTTATGAGAGGCTTAGAGAGAGCTCTTTCTTTGTCCCTCTTTCTCTCACTCTACCTAACAATATCATATTCTCTCCTCTTCTATGTACACCAAATTAGCATGTTTGCTGTTTCAGTAAGCATCAAGCTTCAGAGCTCAGTCTTCAACTGGTTAGGAAGCGATACTGTAAAAAAAAAAAACAAGAGTTATCAAAAATATATTCCACTGAATTTGGACGTTCTATTTAAGGAACAAACTAACCATAGAAATGTATGATAGAAGCATGGAGTACGTGAATGGGACCATAGCAGGTGTGGGATTTGGAGTATTCTTTATATAGACAAGAATGACTTAGAGCCATGAAGTTTTCTCACAATAGTCAAGAGAATAGTTGGTATACAGCTAATCTTATGTGCATGCTTATGAACCTTGATTCTACCAAAGGTCAGACATGCAAGTAAACTTTCAGACTGTCTTAAGCAACTTGTTGAATAATTGGATGTTTGGATGTAAAAACAGGTTTTAGAGCTCTGACGGAAGTCAGAGTTCTTTAATCTCCAAAAGTATCCAATTTTTTACCTTTACTTTTGTAGGGTTGTATAGAAAATTTTGATGAAAACTTGGATGTGGATCCATCCCTAAAATCGTTGTGAAAGCAGAGGAATTTTGACTGACCAAGGGCTGACAAAATCCAACAATTCCCAACAAAAATTTTCAGTAAAACAAACAAGAATATGACACAAATCAACTCCGATAAAATTAGTATCGGACCCGCCCGCCTTTACCACGGAATCGTGAGAATTCCGTGGAAACAAACAGGCCTTAAATATTCGGTGTTAAGTGTCAATTTGGACAACAGATAGCGCGGTGCCTCCAGAAATTACAGAAGAACCAGGATGATCACTGAGGGTCCCATTCAGTAGAGAATGGGGCAGCAGCATTCTGTGAGATGTCGGGCTCAACCCGCTCATTGTTGGTTGGTATCTAAAATGAGCTGGTGTGCACCAAAGTTTTCATTTAAGACAGCTGTATGAGGAGCCCAGATAAAGACTTGAGGGCTCCATGAAGAAAGAACAAGGACAATATTAATCTTGGTGGTGTCTGCTTTTTTAGCTAAAGATCCTAACCGGTCCATGCCATGACATCGGCAAACCTTGTGTATTATTATAGCACCTCACTTTGACATTTTCTAAACTTATAATCACTTTTTAATTGACAGAAAGCATACAATCATCTAGTTTTGAAAGTGTAAAAGTTACTTAAATAATTATAGCTGGCAGGTACCAATAAAGTAATAGCATTTGAACAGTAAACTATAAGCATAATTAAGGGAATTAGGAGGAAGAACATTTATGATTAAATGTTCTTAATTTCAGAAATTCCAACAAAAACTGCCAAGTCAGTACAGGTAAAATGCTCGATTTTGAGCCAGGCTCAAGTTAGCAAAGGAGTCTGGAATCAATCTAGAGCGTGGGCACAGGTGCACATATGACCATTCATATTTGAAGGAAAGTTCATAGAAATGTGGACTAGATTAGTCGACAAGATGAGATTTTACACCGACTCCTTAAGTATCTCTTTACAGTTCATAGATAGAAATTTAATTTTTGATGCTGTCAAAAAAGTATGGAAATCCAGGACAATTATTCTTTGTAGCAAGCTCCACAAGTCCTACAAGACATCTTTAAAGCTTGACTTTCATGAACCAAAGGGAAATTCATTAAAACATCAGCAGCTTATAAGCATATGCTAGGAAAATTCCTAGGTTCCTACCAAATTGGCCTCACCTATAAGGACACCAAGCTCAAGCTTGAGTCCGGCTTAAGTTAGCATGAAGTGTCAAGAACCAATTCAAGAGATCATGGACACAGGTGGGCTCATGTCCATTCATTTCGGTCCCCAAGTGCCAACAGACCAAACAGGGACCATTACCAACTCATTCAAAGCTAACGCCCAACAAAAAAAAAAGACGGATAAGATAAGATGCTGTGGAGATTTTAAGGTAATGAACCGGTCCTCTGATCCCCCTATCAGTGGTCCATGCAAATAATATCATTCATTCACAGTAATATCTACAACAAAAAAAAGTTGTGAATAAAAATTTCACCTGGATTGGGGTTTGATGAGCCGTAAGGGAAAATTGCAACGGTGTTTGGGTTGCTGACGAATACAGGGCTCTGTTGTGCGTCGTCCCTATCCCACAGCTGCTGCTGATGTTGTTGGGGATGTTGGGGATCGACCAGCCACATTTGCTGTTGAAATTTCCCCTGGTTGATCGTTCCGTCCAACCAAGCCGAGGACTGGTCGATTGCAACTCCAGGCCTACCGTTACTGTTACCCCCTGCCATTAACCGCCCACACTGTACATCGGAGCATCTCTATCAGCTAATTTGTTCACAATATGGTACATTTTTGGAAGATTAACATGTACCCTTCATTTGATTCAAAACGTTTAAAAGAAGAGCTCGTACGAGTTAACAGTTCGATAATCGCAACTTCGTCGGGCATTCGGATCAAAACTGTGTATTATTTATAATTAAAAGGCGGGCAATAATTATATTTTTGAATGAATCATAGATGTGCCGAATACTATAAAAATTAGTCAATCAAACAAAAGAGTGTATAAGTTATCATTTGACATCTAAGCAACCCTCAGTTTTATATTTATTGTAATCAAACTATCAATTATTTATATCCACATGATAAAGTTGCCTATCAATTATTAACTCATTAAACAAAGTACTTACCTCAGCGGATAAAGTATTGTCAAGCCCGCTAAAGTCTATCCTGGGGTTAACCGCCGCTAATCTCATCGATAAGAACTGCACATAAAATTTTAACATAATTGAATAAATTGATACAGTCCATTCTGCCCTTCGACTCTCTGACTGCAAAGGGGCATTGTGGTAAATTAGGGCGTGGGGATCCGTACCTCAACTTGCCGTTGAAGGGATTGTACATGGTTGATTATTTCATCAAGCACCAGCGCTGTGCCAGATATCTGCACCCACAATAAATAAAAATCCACGCGAATTATATTTAAATAAAGCAATCGTGAATTAATTGCAATTAATAAAACAAATAGCAGACCTTGTTACACCCTGGGACCAGCTCCTGTAGCAACTTCATCCTAGCATTAATCTTTTCTCTTCTTGCCTAAAAATAAATGATAAATAAATGAGATTTGTTTAATACTTAAATAAACAATGATTAGCGCGCTAATTGATGATTAACTAATTAAAGCTTACTCTCTCAGCTAAACTATGACTATCAGTGGCTTGCCCTCTCCGAGCTCTGACA